TTAACGTGTATTTGGTCTTTTCAAACCCTTCCTGTACTATTAACAACCCAACCATTACAGTACTCTATTAATAACAAGGACAACTGTTAAGCAATAACGCTTTAGATTAAAAAATATAAAGATTGTTACTGTATTCAACACGAAAGAAGTTAAAGTAGAATTTGAATGATGATGATGATGATGAATTTGCTGTGCAGTAGAAATGATGATGAAGCAGATGATGACTTCTACTGTGCAGCCGATAATTGTATTTTACGCCTCTTCACACAGCAGTGACCTTTTCTATTGCTATTTTACGCTTGTTTTGTTGTTCCTAGACCAGGAAATAATATTTATTATTAATATTTTAATGGGTTTAATAAGAAATTTTAGGTGTTCATAAATTGCGATTTTTCTAGAATTTTCCAGAATGTCCGCGATATATTTTCCATATATATATCTTAAAAATCCGCGAAGTCGTGAATCCGCGATAGTAGAACAGCGAATTAGCGAGGGATAACTGTATATGAAATATTTATAGGCTGACTATGAAGGAGTGATGCTAGAGCTGTGAAACCTTGCATACATTAATTTCAGCTCTTCTTATTAAATGACCTGTGACAGTTCAAAGAAGATTTCAAATGTAACTAGTAGCGATATCTCTTAAAAATGAACATTTGGTATCGTGGGGTTATGAAGAAAAATGGCCTTAGGCCTCAAGGACTTTTATACTGACATCGTTGCTACATTAAGGGGTGATGCTCCCAAATGTGGGTAGCTGTATTTAGGGGTTGTCTTGAAAATGACCCATGGTCTGGAGGCCTGAAACAGCCACAACCAAGGAAAACATTGACAGTGTTTACTACATGGTAACGGATGACAGGCGATTGTGTATGAATCAAATAATCAAATATCCCGTGAGAGAGGCGAAAATATTCTGTACAATGAACTTGGTACGACAATGGTTTCTGCTCGGTGGGTTCCACCTTTTTCTTCTTTTTTTTTTTATCCCGTAACCCGCAGTAGAAGTGGTGTTTCTTGGGCAAGATAGCCTGACAGAGCCCAACTCTCTCCAGGCCGGTCTTGAATTCAGAGTTTTTCCTTCTCCTAGACCCGTTGCTATCCAAGGCTATAGAACCCGGTCTGTTCTGCTATTTACCCATAGCTGGGGTGGAAGAATAGGATTCATACCTTTTCCAAGGGTATGTAAGTGAATGTAATGGATCTAACTGGAATTCGAACTCGGCTCTCCGATTCCTCACTACGAATCGCTATCCATTACTTCGCCGTATCTCCCACGTCTACTTACACCTGTTCAAAAATGCACCAGGCTCAGTACATCACGGGAAAATCTGACATTGTTTGAGGCAGACCCAGCCAGCTTCCTTTACGTTTCCTAATACTGGTCGAGTGTTGGCTTTATCAGTTTGATCACTCATGTTATTATCATCTGTTCCCCAACACGAGAAAACTTGGCAGTGATGACGACGTCTTATCTTCTGTTGATGAAATTTTAAAGAAACAGGATGAACAGTCTTGTTTGCACACTCAGGTAGCAGTTTACCTTGAAAGAAACAAGGCATTTGTTAATAAGAAGAGTTGAAATTAATACCTGCAAGATTTCACAGCTCCCACATCACTCCTTCATAATTAGCCCAAGAACTTTACAGCCCACCCTCGTAATTATCCCCTCGAAGTGGTACTCTGCCTTGAGAGACTATTGCGCCTTAAACTTAACACCTGACCTTAAGGGGAACTCGTACAAACGAGCCACCGTTAAAGATGCAGGTCAAATGGTCGGCTCCCTGTACCGATCCAGTAAGTACCTGACTCCACGTGCAATCCTCTACCTTTACAAGAGCCGAATCAGGCCAAGAATGGAATACTGTTGTCATATTTGGACGGGAGCTACCCAGAACTCACTCTCCAGCATTGATAGAGTCCAAAAGAGTCCTTGTGGGTGATGAATTATTTTCTAATCTCCAACCTCTCTTCCACGGGCGGAATGTAGTAAGCGACTCGCTGCTCTAACGCCACTACCATGGAACGAACTCCATTCCTTGTTTCCACTAGTTCTAACCACCACGGCCAGGACCCGCCACACCACTCACAAACCCCACCCACATTCCGTCCGTATTCCATCGGTGAGAAGTAAGTTCCACTTGAACAGCTTCTTCCCGTGAACCACTGCTCCGTGGAACCAACTCCCAAGAGAATGTTTCCCCGATCACTAAAATCTTAATCTGTTAACGTCTACGGTTAACCGTTATTTTCTTCTCTTATCGGTACGGACTACCTCTTAACATAACCCTCTACCTCGAGTGGCTCCTGGGTCTTGTACAGGGTAAACTTTACTGTAAAAAATAAACAAAACAATAAAAAGCCCATCATGGTTGTTTATAATGGTGTCCTGAAAGTGTACACTAAATCAATACAAATATTTTTACTTATATTTTACTCATATTTCAGTATTGTTGGCGTGGAATACGTACCTCTTGCTTATCTGCACTTGGAAAAATTGGTAAGTAAATATTTTATTTATTACAAAAAATACAGACAATCTACGTCTTTTTTTTTAGATAAAAGGAACCATTAATTGACACCGTCAATTTTTATAGATAAAAGGAACCATTAATTGACACCGTCAATTTTTATAGATAAAAGGAACCATTAATTGACACCGTCAATTTTTTTAGATAAAAGGAAGCATTAATTGACACTGTCAATTTTTTTTAGATAAAAGAAGCCATTAATTGACACTGTCAATTTTTTTAGATAAAAGAAGCCATTAATTGACACCGTCAATTTTTTTAGATAAAAGGAACCATTAATTGACACTTTATAACAGCACCGTCTCTTATTTGATCCCCAAATTTAAGGAACATAAATCCTGATCAGTACTCAGATCAGCGTTTCTCAACCGGTGCACTCAGAAAGGTAACCAGGTGCGCCCTAAGTTAACAGAAGTGTAATTTATGAATTATTTTTACATCTAAAAATATCTTTATTTAAAAAAAAAACTAAGACACCAAACACATGGCTTCCATGTCTAAGTCAAGTCTTTGTCATTTGATATTTTACCCTAGATGCTAAATTCCTTCATTTTTAAGAAGTGGATAATCCTTTACCTTTTGCCTTCCTCAAGTGATTTAAATCCATCATTATCAGCCTCTCTGGAAAGTAAACTCTACTTCTAATCTTGGGAATGGTAAACCAAAATTTCATATTTCCAAATTTCATGATTCAGTTTTCCTTATTAAGATTTAAAATGCACCCAAGAGTTTCAGTTATGCTACAAGTGCACCCTGAAGTTAAAAAAATGTTGAGAAACATTGATTTAGATGAAGAGACCGCTTTGGAACAGCAAAAAGGCAAAATGGATTACTATATATATATATATATATATATATATATAGGAAGGAAAATGTGACAAAGTGGGAAAAAGTTTTTGCATGATGTCTTTCATCATTTAGGACTTCACCCGACTAAATTTGTTGCATTGATTCAACTACACATGCACACGAAGAAGGGGTACTGGGAATTTTTAATTTAAAAACTACTAATAATAATAAAAATTGCTATAGTTGATGACGACCTGCTGAAAAAGATCCACTTCTCTCCTTGCTTCTGACACTAAACTATGTAGCCAACTCCAAAAGTAGTGCATCCAAGGCTCTCACCAGAAAGACAGTAACTACGGTTAATTCATGTTGTCTACACTCGGGGACTGGACTACTTAGGACGGTGATGGCACGGAATCTCTGGGTAGAGAACTTTACTCGGCAACAGCCAGGACGGAGTGCTCCCCCGATAGAATCAACGGCCACGTTTCAGTGACCGAGGCGAGACTTCAAGCCAGAGGACATTGGCTGCGGTCTGACCCAGAGAATAACGCGATCTTCTGGGTCTACTCACCCAAAACCCGCTACTCATGAACGAATGCCTATCGAATACTACCGATACACGGGGGGTTGGTATTCAGTTCCGCAGCGATATCACTACACCCTGTCATGAGACTAATAGTGTTGATGTCAACGATGATGATAGTGATCGTGATGATAATGACGACGATGATGATGATAGGGGGGAGGATATCGGGGAGGGAGATGACGATGATGCTGATGATAATGAGAAGGATAGGGAAGGAGTAGCGGAGAGGACGATCGGAGTGGATGGATGATGACAACGACGATGATGACAAAGACGATGATGATGACGATAATGTGTAGAGTCGTGGAGGGGGATCGGAGAGGATGGCGACGACAACGATGATGATGATGGTGGGAATGACGAGGGTCGAGGAAGGGGATCGGGGAAGGACGACGCTGACAACGACTACGATAATGATGATAATGAGGAGTGTCGAGGACTGGCGTCGCGGAGAACCACGATGACAACAATGATGATCAGGTCGACGACAATGATGATGAGGCGAATCGTTGAAGACGAGAACGACGACAATGACAATGATGATGATGGCAACAACGATGATGATGATGAGGAGGAGGAGAAGGCGGAGGATCAGTGAGGACAACAATGACAACGATGATGATGACAACGTCGACGACAATTGTGGTGAGGAGGAGGAAGATGAGAGTGCGACGACGACGATGATGATGGTACATTACTGTTCTGCTCAGTGAAAACAGACGTTAACATAAAATGCAGTAAAATTATTTCAAAATTAATTCTTAAATTATCAGTTAATCAAGCTATCTAATCAGATTAACGTTAATCCAGTCATGCATCTTTATGAATTGAAATTATATGAACTTATGATGCGTGTTAAGATAGTCCAATGTTACTGGATTAATAACAAATAGAGAAAAGTAAACTGCGTGGGCTTCGAAACAAGCTAGTTGAGGAGAATAGAAAGAAAAGAATAGCCATCAATTTTTAAAAAATGCATAAACAAGGGAAACAGCAAGATGGGTGCTAAGAATTAGAGATGTCAAAAAGCAAATACAGATTTTAATTATCTGGGAAGTGTTTTAACAGATGACAAAGAAAGTGACAGCGAAATCTGAAGTAACATTGAATTAGCAAAAAATGCATTTCAAATACTACAGCCTTGTGCAAATTAATTGAAATTTAGCTTTCTTTCTTTCACCATACGGTCAGTTTTAGACCCACTGGAGTGACAAGATATAATGGATTTCTATTTTTTCCTCAGATTAGGTCATTTGCAGTGGTTTTCAGTAATATAAATCTCTTTGTGGAGTATATGATGAAATTTGGCCTTGAAAAATATTGCGTCACCGTGATTGCATCAGATTTTCATCACGCCCAGACACTATTGTCTCGACTGTCGATTAGTTGTCCTACGTTCATTGTCTGCGATGGACGTTACTCCAAGGAAGCGTACGAAAATTGTAACGCTGCACTAAGACACTGGCAAGCCTTAACAGTGAACAAATGAAAGTACTATAGGAAACTCTCCTGATTTAAATCCAATAGAGAATTTGTGGTCAACCTTAGTGGAATGGACATAAGAAGTACTAAAATATGTACTGGGTCATGTTTCATTGGAAAAAAACGAAAAAATGTAAATAATAACGAAATTATTCGTTTTGTTTCAATTAATTTGCGTAAGGGTGTAAACAAAATACTAAAAAGACAGGAAAGTTTCGTTGAAAATTAAGAAAATAATGCTTGACAGCTCTGTAATATTAATCCTATATCAATGAAGAGACCTGAGGCAAAAGAGACGTGGTTATACAGAAGGCTACTGAGAATACTATGCGAGCAACGAGGAAGGTTTAGGGAAAATAGAAACAAAAAATGTCAATTTTATTTAGAATCTGAAAGATTGAAATTACTAGCGCACAATGAGAAAAGACGGCTTGGAGAATTTGATACTCACATGACAAGCGGAAGAGAAGGAAAAATCGAACAAGTTAGCTAATGCGCTTTTGTAAATGAATAGCAAAACTGGGAGATGGTGGGATACTAACAAACCAATAATTCCTAAGAAATACAAAGGATAAGAAGTTGTGGAGTGCCATGATCGCCATGTACTGAAGTGACACGACACATAGGAGAAGAATGATGCGTGTTGAGACTATAATGTGAAAAATTAAGAAATTCTCAAGTAAGTGGAAATTACAAAGAAATAAGAGAAAGACTCGAAATGTGATGATGAGGAAAGAAGGCTTCGAGACTTTAATACTCACAGTGTACATTGAAAGCATGAGAATTGGAAGAAAAGAGTGAGTAAACGCGTTGAGAATTTTGAAGAAATTTATGTTAGAGCAAATATCACAAAATGAAAAAAAGGGTCATAATCATGAAACTATTGCTGTGAACAACAAAAACAGAAAGCTGTGGAGAACCATGATCACTTGTATTGTAAAAAGGCAAAAGAAGGGTGATAAAGGAGAAAATATTGCTGAAAAGAAAAAAGGAATGGAAGTTGTGAAAAGCAATCACCACGACACCTGGAAAGGGCATATCATATCATTTCCAATGCATTTTCATAGTAAAATTATTTACAATGCATTTTCATAGTAAAATCATTTCCAATGCATTTTCATAGTAAAATCATTTCCAATGTATTTTCATAGTAAAATCATTTCCAATGCATTTTCTTAGTAAAATTATTTACAATGCATTTTCATAGTAAAATCATTTCCAATGCATTTTCAAAGTAAACTCATATACAATGCATTTTCATAGTAAAATCATTTCCAATGCATTTTCATAGTAAAATCATTTCAATGCATTTTCATAGTAAAATCATTTCCAATGCATTTTCATAGTAAAAATCATTTCAATGTATTTTCATAATAAAATCATTTCAATGCATTTTCATAGTAAAAATCATTTCAATGCATTTTCATAGTAAAATCATTTCCAATGCATTTTCATAGTAAAATCATTTCCAATGCATTTTCATAGTAAAATCATTTTCAATGCATTTTCATAGTAAAATCATTTCAATGCATTTTTCAGAATAAAAATCATTTCCAGTACATTTTCAGGGTAAATTCATTTCCAATGCATTTTCATAAAAAATCATTTTCAATGCATTTTCATAGTAAAATCATTTCCAATGCATTTCATAGTAAAATCATTTCCAATGCATTTCATAGTAAAATCATTTCAATGCATTTTCATAGTAAAATCATTTCAATGCATTTTCATAGTAAAATCATTTCAATGCATTTTCAGAATAAAAAATCATTTCCAGTACATTTTCAGTAAAATTCATTTCCAATGCATTTTCATAAAAAAAATCATTTCAATGCATTTTTCATAGTAAAATCATTTCAATGCATTTCATAGTAAAATCATTTCCAATGCATTTCATAAAAATCATTTCCAATGCATTTTCATAGTAAAATCATTTCCAATGCATTTCATAGTAAAATCATTTCCAATGCATTTTCATAGTAAAATCATTTCCAATGCATTTTCATAGTAAAATCATTTCCAATGCATTTTCAGAATAAAAATCATTTCCAGTACATTTTCAGGGTAAATTCATTTCCAATGCATTTTCATAAAAAAATCATTTTCAAT